TCAACCCACCCACCCCCAACCAAACAAAAAGAAAGTGAAAACGTTGGAAAAAATGCAAAAGCTAGCAATTGCATTTGTAAACAAATAGATCCCTGTACTTTTCTTGTTATTAATGTGCCCTTACAATTGTCCTGCATTAATGATAGTATTTTTTTTTAATATTGTTCCTAAACCAGAGTAAGGTGTGGGCGAAGCTATAGCCAGAAATAAATTAGACCACTTTGTTCATATTACTCTAGCTCAGACAAGCCAATGCTCCACAAGGAAAATTTATGATTCCTTTTTGTGAAATATTTTTAACTGAACCGCACGCTCCAAATTTTGAAGATAAAGTGAGTGCCAGAACTTATAACATCAACTCAACCATTTAGGTCAAATGTAAACCTCTATTAGCTTTTAAAACAAATGAGAAACCCTGTGATTCTTGTATCTATGTTGCAGATGAAGCTAAGATAAGCAGCTAGACCAACCCATCAAAGATGGGAAGTTGAAGAAACCAAGAGATATGAAGGAAGGTGTTTATGTGGTAACACCATGAATTGCTTTTATTAACCAAGGCCACAAAATTGATAGGTCAAAAAGTTAAAAAGAATGAGGTAAACTCGACAAAGAAGAGATTTAGGCCAATTTTCAAAGAGAGATAATACTGAGGGTGCTGACTCAAAGAAAATATTGAGTGCCCAGGAGAAGTAATGACAAATCACTAAAAAGGTCATTATATTCTACCATAATTTTCAATTGAACGCGATTGAGTAGGATTTAGTAAGTTAACAAAGCGCCAACCTGTGTTGCTTGGACTCTTCGAAAATGTTGCTGAATGTGTGTCGGATCCTCCAAAAATCCGACACGGGTGCGGCATCATTTTGGAGAGTCCGTGCAACATAGGCGCCAACATGCTGGTCAAAGTGAAATTGACCGACCTAACCACATGTGACTAGCTTCAAGATTTATGCGTCAAATATCAACTTTTGCTTCCTATTAAAGAAATACCAGTCCAAAATTGCTACTATTTTCTTACAACTATTTTTTTATTACTGTAGTATCCGGGCCAGCTTGTATTTTCTTACAACTATCAACATGTTTTATCGGTTCTAAACAGATTAGACTTATATGTACTCCCTTTGTTTCAGTAATTTATTTTTTTAAAATTTTTTTTGGGTCTCTCACACTAAAGGTATGTATAAGATACCAAAATTACCCTTTAAATATTGTGGTCTTAAACATGCCAAGTCATTCCTATAAACTTGCTAAATATAGAAAGAGACATTCTTATTGAAATAGACCAAAAATGAAAGTAAGACACATAAATTGAAAGGGAGGGAGTAATATAGAAGATTGCATAAATGTACTCCACATCGAGAAATGTAACTATATACATCGAAGGTGTGAATTTACATTTGTCTTCATGTTTTTCCTGAATCTCTTCTCCTTATTTCTCTTTTATCTCACACGGTATCAAAGTTATTGTGAAATTAATCCATGTATTTATCAGAGATGTCTAGGAGAGGAATTTTCAGTGCATGTGCATTTTTTGGCTATTGTCGCATCTATTGGAGATTTTATTGCTTTCCGTGGGTGCTGTGCATAAATCAGTAAGTACCAATCAACTCAAAATTCTAATGTGAACTAAGTCCAAAAAGCCAAGCCACAATAGGAGTTCCCACGTGCCTCCATAATCCACCAGCAGTCATTTTTCAGCACCACGCCGTTTCATAGGCCTATATGGAAGTTGTTCACGATCTTTCGACATCGCTTCAGTACATTTGGATCGATTGGTCCTTCTCATCGGATCCATCTTGATCCAAAGAGATTCTGACCTCAAAAACTCCAACTATTGACAACTCCATCTACTCTGAAGAAGACTTTCTACTATTCTAGCCATTTTTCTAAATCTTCTAGGCTGCTAAAGGTCGATTAAATTTGTGACCCTTCCTTCAACAGAGCAACTTTTATATATTTGATTCATATACTTCGATGTATCTGAATGGTTGCATAGATCTGCGTCAAGAAAGGGATTACTCTACGAGAATTTGGACAATTAAGTCGTGAGTACATAGATGCAAATTGGACAATGTCACACAAGTGGTAAACAATCTACCTCTGGATATTGCCTTCTCGTCAGAGGCAATTCAGAAGAGTAAGAAACAAAATATAGAGATAGTTGCGTGATACAAAATTACAGTGCGGAAGTAGGAGCAAATAACTCTTGGCAAGGCAACAAGGAAATAAAAAACGGAAAAGGATCAAAAATATCCCTCTACTATTGAAAATTGTTTAAAATTACCCTCTGTTATGCTATTCGATCAAAAATAACCCTACCGTCTAACTATTAAACAAATATGCCCTTACTTTACCAAAAGTGCCACGTGGAGGGCTTCTAAGCCTTTTTAATCCCCAACCCAAAATAATTGAATCCGACCCATTACTCAACACCCAAAACCGGTAACCCGTAAAATTTAAGACCCCTTGAGTTAAAAATCAGAGACCCTCAACCCAAATAGTTCAGTTCTCTTTCATCAGTCAAGAAATTTTTTGTAGATTTTGAGGAGCGATTGTTGAAATAACAGCAGAAAGAGGAAAAAAGGAAATGTCTACACCGAGAAAAGAAGAAAGAGAAGAAGGTTTGTACTTGTGAAGCTTACTTTTGGATGTTAGATTTGGTAAACTTGGGACTGATTTGGTTGACTTTGGTACGGATACTATGAGGCAGACTTTGGTCATACACTTAACTTTATATACCTCCCCATTTCTCCCTGTCCAGCAGTGTTTTCTCTAACAAAGTTTCCTTTGATGGTTACTTTGGTATTTGTATTGATACCCAGAAAGAGAAGGCTGCAGAGGAGGAACCTTGAATAGACCTTGATGTTGCAACTATGATGGGATTCGGTGGTTTCAGAACTTCAAAAAAAAGTGATCGCTTTGGCCATCAATCTCTCGCGAGAATAGCTTGGTCTGGAGTAATCTGCCAGAGGCCTTTATTTTAGCTTGAAATGGTCTAAATGTAAGAGAAACTCCATTTTAGGTAGTAGCCAGGCGATTGAGGTTTGTTAAACTAGCCTCCAGAATTTTCTCAATGAATGATTGAAACCAGTTGTTTGGAGAATATATATGTGTTCTCTCTTATTGTTCAATACTGATTGACGTGTCCCAAATTTTTCACCATCATTCTTATCCGTATTGCAAATGATTTTTACATGGTTAAACAATAATTTTAGTTTGGGTGAAAACCTAGGATGAAGAATATGTAAGAAGGTTTAGAAAATTCTCGACATGAACGTAAAACTGTGGTTCAATTTTTTGAAAAGAGAAATGAAATAGGGGCTTTAAATTTTATGGGTTACGGGTTTTGGGTGTTGAGTAATGGGTCGGATTCAATTAATTTGGGTTGGAGATTAAAAAGGCTTAGAAGCCCTCCACGTGGCTCTTCCATTAAAGCAAGGGCATATTTGTTTAATAGTTAGACGGCAAGGTTATTTTTGATCAAATAGTATAACAAAGGGTAATTTGAAATAATTTTAATAGTAGAGGGATATTTTTGACCCTTTTCCGAATAAAAAATGAAATGACTAGTGTGTCAAGTGAGACCTTGACTTTAAAGAAACTTAGATTACAATGGATTTTCATCGTTGATTACCCATGTATGTGAGTGCATTCAAGGACATACAGGAGAAAAACAAACTAATAGCACCGACCAATGCAACATTTCAGATACAGGAATCAAATTGAATCAAGAAAAAAGAGCCTAAAACCCTAAGCTTGCCTACTAATCAGCTCACATATCCTCTACCCGCATCTTTCAAACATATGAACTATACGATCTATGTAACTGCGGGTTGACTTTAATGTGCGACGTTCCAGAAAATCAATTAACTCTACGGAAAGCCAGACTGCAGACGCATTGTTGGAAAGGAACATTCCCAAAGTTCATGACCCAGTCACAATCACAAATAGCAAGAAAGTTTGAAATAAGCATAGGTTACATAACACTTAGGTTATAAAAATTTCTTGGTTTAGCCCCTAAAGGCAAGAAAAAAGCATGAAGAAAGATGCTGGGAACTATAGGATCTTGTAACAGAACAGTGATGTAACTGCCTACAACCCATAGCTTGCATTAAAAAATGCAAACATGATGGGGTTATGCACTCATGAATAGCATCTTTCGTGGACAATTTTACTCAAAATGGGACCTGGAAAAACATAGTAACAGATTATCTGTGATCTCTTATGGATGATTCAATGCTCTAGCTTCAAGTATGATCCAACTGATCGTATAAAGAACAGGATATTCTGGATTGGTTCAATTTCACTACTTTTAAGGACATACAACAAGTTGGTTTCTGAATTACTCTAAAGATTCCCTTTAACTACACAATTCAAACAGATTACTGTACTAGTTCTTCAGCATTCGTTTCATCTCAGGACATTTACAGCTTTCAAACCGAGAAATAGATTCATTTGCTGAACTTTGTAATAACCTGTTTAACCCTAGATAGACATAAATTCCAACATTCTAAAGAACAGCTACATCAATAAAGATAAAGCCAGGAGAAATGCAAAAAAGTGCAGTAAATATCTGAAATTTCACCTGTCAAAGTAGGATGCCTGGCAGGACGTTTAGCTCTTTCAATCTGCAACTGAGTTTCCATGAACATATTCATCCGCTGAACCTCCAGGTCCTTGGTGAATTTCATCCTCTGCTTCTCCAACTCCACCATCTGCTGCTGCTTTGTGCTCTCAATTCTCTCATATATTTCCCCAAACCTCAATATTGCCCGCGCCAACTCCTTGTACGCTGTAGTTTCCTCCGCTAATCCTACATACTCCATTTTATTCTTCCTCCCTCCACTCCCAAACGGCAAATCATCGTGCGAGCTGTAATTTGAACCACTTGAATTCATCCTCGATGAACTGCCGGAATAATTCACGGCACCAAAGTTAGGGTTAGGGTTAGAGCTTGACTTAACGGTAAGTGTAATCGCGGCAGTCAATTTTCTATTACACGGCGAGGTAGAAACGTTATTGGTACCGATGAGATAATCGAGACAGTTATAAAACGGCCATTTAGACGGAGATGACTTGGTTTTCTCAAGCTTGTACTTCTTCTTCAAAGTATCGATCCGGTTCTTACACTGTACATCGGTGCGCTGAGGCTTAACGCCGTTTTGACGGGAGTTAACGGTGTCAGCGACTTCCTTCCAGTCCTTCTGCCGGAGATTGCCGCGATTAAGCCTGATGTAANCGTCAGCAGCTGCCTATTGGATGATTGTACGGAGTGGGCTATGCCTACGCTTGTCTACGATTTCTCCCAATTTTACCCCGTCACTTCCCATTTCCTCACTGCGTTTTCCTTTTTTATTTTTTTACGTGCAGTGAACGGGGCAACAGGCTTTGCTCTCATAGCGTGTTTGTCTCTTAGGTTAAAAGCTTTTTTTTTTCAAAGTTAAATGTTTGCCCAAACTTTTAAAATATATATATATATATATATATATATATATATATATATATATATATTTGAGTAGAAGTATAATCAATTTTGGAAAAGCAGAAAAATATATCTTCTCTCCAAAAGCACTTTCAAAAAAGCACTTTTAAAAAAATATACTTAAAAATATTTTTTAAAAGCTTGATCAAACACTAATTGCTACTCAAAAATATTTTTCAAATTAATTAATCAAACACAAGTTATTTTTCTCAAAAGTACTTAAGCGCTTTTGAAAAGAAAAATATTTTTCAAAATAAGCTAAATTAGATGCTTGACCAAACAACCTATTAATTAGTCCATCTGATCTTGATTTGGTTTGTGACCTCAAATAATATGAACTTTTCAACAGTAAGCATTTCTTATTTAAATTCCTAAAATATTAGAATTATATTTTAAAGGAAAAGTTTCATTTATATACTATCTGATGGTGGGATATAATTATGTATTTTAGTCGTTTATCACACTTTAATTTATTGCACTTTTATTGTGTTTGAGATGTAATCGCTAGTGTATTGCACTTATTTTGTGTTTTATGCCTTATAGGAGTGATTCTGAGTTATGTAGATATTGTGGAACTTATTCGAGCTATTTGGAGCTTTGAAGTATGAGTAAAAGCCCAGGGGATTAAGCCAGGATCGTGTTCGGGGGTCGAGGATCAATTATGAACGTCAAAATTCAAGGAAGAAGCAACTGCTAAAGAAATGCATTGGGCGACGCACAGTGCGACGCATGAAAAGCAATAAGTTTGCAAGTTTTCCTATTTCAACTAGGAAAAGGAGATTTCGTCTTGGCCCAACCCTACTTGGTAGAAATACATGTAAAAACATTATTTTGAGGACTTTTGGACATGCTTTAGACCTAAGGAGGGCACACCACGCTTGGAGGAGGCTTCTAACTAGTTTTTCTTATCTTATCTTATCTTCTCTTAATTTCATAATTTATTAGTTCTAGAGTTGTGGTGTGCTACATGAACGTTGTAGTTTGAAGCTTGAATTGTTCTTATTATTTTATCATATTGGTTTATTTATTCAATCTTGCGCTTAATTATTTGATTACTTGATCACCAATTGAAAACCATCTATGAATCTAGGATTGAACTAGGGAGAGGGAATTCTAGATTGCATATAAGATTGAGTAGAGCAAGATCTTGAACTCGAGTATCGAGAACAGATTTGCGGTTAGGATAGGAATATCGCATTGCTTGGTTATTATACGGGAATTATAAATGTGTTCTTGTTAATCCTAATTCCATAGGAATATAGGCGTTAGGCTAGTTTGAATAGGCGAGTAGTACTTCGGGAGAAGGCTACGAGTAATATTAACCCTGTCGACCACTAAACCAGATAAATTAATTAGATAATTTAAGTAGAAGACTCAACGGGATTGTTAGCTAACACATAGCTCTAGAATATTGTCTCTCATTGAGTTCGACTCTAAAATTTCGCCAATTTGTTTCTTTAATTTCTTAGTTTACTATTCTAGATTAGTTTTAGTTAAATATTCATACTTTAGGATTCGCTTGAATAAATTAATTGTTTGGTTTAATTTAGTTGATAGTTAATCACAAGTCCCTGTGGGTATGATATTTGGACTTACAATTCTATATTACTTGTCGACCATGTATACTTGCGTATGCGTTTGTGAGCAACATGTTTTTGGTGTCGTTGTCGGGAACTTGAATATCGACTACTTTCTAGTTTTTGCTTTCATTATTTATTTCGTCAAGCCTAACGTTACTTGATTGTTGCTCTGATCTCAGGAACTTTGATTGAATGCGCTGGGTCAGAAGCCAGGACAGACTTTAAGGCTTTGACCTTGAACCTAAAAGAACATTTTATAAGAGGTTGAGGGAAGCAATGGACACAAATAATCTTCAGGCACTTGTTCAATTTCTTGTGAACATATCAGAGGAGCAACATATGGCTGTTCAGGAGGTGGAGATGCCCAGTATTGCTAATGTCACCTCCAGTATTATGAAGCCCAAAATCACTGGGCACTTTGAGCTGAAATAGAGCATGATCCAGCTACTACATGCGAATGGGCAATTTATGGGATTTTCCACACGGGGATCCACAACAGCACATCCTGAACTTCTTGGAGGCTAGTGATAGCTATATTACCAACGGAGTCACTCCAGACTATGTGAGGCTCACACTTTTCCCGTTCTCTCTATTGGGTGAAGCAAAGCAATGGCTGAAGGCAGAACCAGCTAATTCTATTACATCATGGAATGATCTGGTAAGGAAATTTTTGGCAAGGTTCTTCCCTTCAGGCAAAACTGCAAATATCAGAAGTGCAATAATCGCCTTCAAATAGAAAGCGAAGGAGTCTTTATACTCAGCTTGGGAGGGGTTCAAGGGGCTGCTCAGAGACTGTCCTCATCACAATCAGACAAATGAAGTGTTAGCTCACACTTTCATAGAAGGACTACATCCTGAGATAAAGATTATGGTAGATGTTGCAGCTGGAGGTCAAGTACCTTAGAAAAGCTTTGATGAGATATATGCGTTATAAACCAAATTCTCCAAAAGCAATCCTGATTGGCAATGAGAAATGGGCAGACACACAGTGCAAACATCTGCAGGGGTTCTCGAGTTAGATGTCATCTCGGCATTATCTGCGCAAATTTCCATATTGACCAACCAAGTTAATCAGATGACCTTGGTTAACAAGCAACAAGCCCAGCCAATGCAACAGGTTCAATTATTTTGTGAAGTAGGTGGAGAGGGTCATACAAGTGACTTATGCCTAGTTAATCCAGAGTCTGTCTGTTTTATGGGTAATGCAAATAGGGGCCTGACAAACCAGTATGGAAACACTTACAATCCTAACTGAAAGAACCACCCAAACTTCTCTTGGGGTGGAAACCAAGGTGCTCAGAATCAATACAAGCCACAAGCACCTCAACAACAATATAGACCACCTCAGGCTAAACAACATGCAAACTCGATGAGTCACCTTGAGGAAATGATGAATAAAGTAATGGTTGATCAACAGGCCCAAGCCGCAGCAATGAGAAATTTGGAGCGACAAATAGGACAACTTGCCAGTGCCCAAAATACTCGACTAATTGGATCTCTTCCCAGCGATATTGAGGCTAATCCTAAGGCATCTATTAATGCTATGTCATTGAGGAATGGGAGACAGTTAGATGAAGTCCAGTCGAAAAAGAGAAAATAAGTGACCTTTAATGAGAAGCTAGCTACTATAAAGTCAGAATTAGAAAAATCAAAGGAGTTAGAGAAGCCAGCTGAAGAGGCGGTGGCTAAGAAACCCCCACCATTGGTTGTGAGGCCACCACCTCCATTCCCTCAAAGATTGCAGAAAGTGAAGGATAATGTCGCGTATAAAAAGTTCTTGATATTTTGAAGCAAGTGCAAATCAATATTCCACTGGTAGACATCCTGCAAGAAGTGCCCAAATATGCAAAATACATCAAGGACATAATGGCAAATAAAAGGAGGTTGACTGAATTTGAGACTGTGGCGCTCACTGAGGAATGTAGCTCTAGAATCTAAAGCAAGCTACCTCAGAAATTGAAGGATCCGGGTAGTTTCACTATCCAAATCTCGATTGGTAAGCATGCAATTGGGCAAGCTTTGTGTGATGTTGGAGCGAGCATCAATTTGATGCCACTATCTGTATTCAGACAGTTGGGTTTGGGTGAGCCGCACCCAACATCAGTAATCTTACAGTTGGTTGATCGCTCCCCTTGCTCATCTTGAAGGAGTTATTGAAGATGTATTAGTTCAAGTGGGTTCTTTCATATTCCCTGCTGAATTTATTATCTTGGACTACGAGCCTGATCAGGAATTCCCATTTATTTTGAGGCATCCATTCTTAGCCACGGGCCAAGCTATTATTGATATATGTGAAGGAAAGATGACGATGAGAGTCGGTGATCAAGTGGAGGTATTCAATGTATATAAATCACTTAGATTGCTAGCCCACTATGAAGAGTTATCCATTCTGTGGTGGAAAGTGATGCTACGTCATTGGTGCCTTATATGAGCCCCATAGATCCTCTTGAACAAGCTTTGATTAGGGATGAAGAATACATTGAAGATGAAATGATGGGAGAAATTGAGCAAGTACTTGACATGTCTTGTAGTTATGTCCATGGGTTTAGGAGATTTGAAGAGTTGGACACGCCTGTTGATAACCGGGAATTTTGATACATTTTATACTCCTTCTTGCTTATGTTTTGATTAGAAATTTGTACAAAATAGTCCCAAAATGCTCACAAGTTGTGCTTGATTGCAGGTTTGATCAACAAAGTGACAAGATGTCAAAGATCAGCTCAAAAAGGAGTAAAACTTGCACAAGTACCAAGACAAGACAAAGCTCGGGTAAAATAGGCCCAATGCGGCCGCACACCATTCTGTGCGGTCCGCACAAGTGAGGTTCAGAAAGTTTGATTTCTAGGCCAACAGGTAATACGGCCGCATGAGATTTAATGCAGTCTGCATTAGAGTCACTGCAGCCGCACTCGATTTAGTACGGTCCGTAGAACCAAGGATCAGAGAAGTGCCAGTTTAGAGATTAAATCCAATGCGGTCCGCGCTCCATTTCATGCGGACCGCACTAAAAGCCACCACGGCCGCACTCTATTCTGTGCGGTCCGCATTGCCCGAGTTCAGAGAGTTGAATTTTCAAGTTCAAAGCCCTAGTGCGGCCGCGTGTGATTTTGTGTGGTCCGCACTAGCCCCGCAGGGGTATTTTTGTCCAAATTTTTAGCTTAGTATAAATAGCTTCTTTTCCATTTTTAGGTCATCAGATAGATTTTGTACTGAGCTGTGCTCGTGACTTCGATAGTTTTGGCTATTTTGAGCAATTTTAGCTTCATTTCAACATTGAATCTTCTAGTTTATCTTAGAAATTAATTAATATGAGTTTTTCTTTATCTATTTCTATGT